TTATTTTACATTTCTTACATAGTTTTTCAACCTGGAATGACCCACGTATCGACCCAAGACCCGATCGGCATGGAGGCGGGAGTGGGCCAGGTGAGTGCTTCTAATCGGGTGACAGTAGACTCAGGTCGGTCCGTGCATCGACCCGATCACTATATTTTTTTAAAGTACTTTTTTCTTATTTTTTAAAAATAAAAACAATGTATATATATTTAAATAGTAAATATATATTATGAGATACAATATTATTATCACTTAGATATATAAATTTATATATAAAATAATTATTTATGTTACTTTTATGTATATTTATATGATAAAAATACCATATATATAAATTAAAAAATTTTAAAATTAATTATCTGGTTCAACATTTGACCCACCTGGTAGTTGCACCAATGACCCAGATGCTTGTCGTGTCAATTTTCGGGTCGGGTTTACAAACATTGTTACTTATTGTTAAGGAAAATCAGGAAAAATATATATTAACACGTATTATTCTTAGTTTCTTATCTCTTATGCCCTCTTACTATATCACTCTTTTCAATTATTTTATTCTAAAAAAAATGATCGGCATTCACAGGCTGGCGTGTGGGATGATAATGATTTATCAAAATGCCCTTTTTTAATCTTTTTTTTTTAAACAAAAAATCAAAATGAAACAACATCGTTTCAAGTTTGTTTTAACATAAAAAAAAAAAGAACATTATCTGAGAAAAAAGTTGTTACTTTCTGCCTCTGAACCCTAATTAACACATCGCTCTAGTCTTTCATTGCTGCTGCCAGTCTGCAAGCCTGATCATGGCCTCGAAGCTCTCATTCCTCCGCCGATTGAAATATATTTTCAAATTAAGTTTTCGAAATAATATGTACTCGTGCTAAAAATAATAATAAAAGCAATGTTAATATTAAAGTTGGTAGACCATGCTAAAAATAATATTAAAAATAATAATAAAAAATAAATGCAATGTTAATATTAAAGTTAATAGTATTTTATATTCTTGCAACATGAATATAATTTACCCAGTAATATTAGATCATCATTTTGTTCCTATAACAAATCATTCATATTCATAACAACATGTATACATTATAAAATATTTCAAGTTAATCAAATAAATAAATTAAATAAAATTTATGCACTTTTGTACACTGCAATTAATTATATAAAAAATGACTTATGGAAAAGCATATTAAACTTGTCAGCCAAATGCTTTGATACAAAAATATATAAAATATTATATATTATTCTCAAATAGTCTTAAATTTTGTCAAAATTTTACATTATTCACCCTAAATAAAGGTTCAAATATATCAATACGCACTACAAAAAAATTATATATCCCAACAGAAAATCCTATGGTAATATATTCCAATGAAAATTCCAACGGATATTCTAATGGTATAGTTTCCGTTGGAATGATTCCAACAGAAATCCCAACGAAAATATTCCGTTGGAATGTATTTCTCATTGAAATTTGATGATTCCAACGACTATATTTCCAACGGCTTTTCACCGTAGGAATTTCCGTTGGAATATGCAATTTTCATTGGAATTTTTATTTCCACCACCTTTGAAAAATCTACCGTTGGAATCATCAAAATCCAACGAAAATTCCAATGGAAAACTCATTCCAACGGAATATTTTTTAGGAATTTCCGTTGGAATAATTCCAGCAGAAATAATAACATTGAAATATCCATTGGAATTGTCGTTGGAATTCTATTGAAATATATTTCCGTTGGAATTTCATCATTTTCTTATAGTGACGTAAATAAAAAAAAATTATGTTATTCTTATCACATTTATTCTAGGTGGTCTAAAAATATGTAAAATATCATATATTATTCTCAAATTATCTTAAATTTTGTCAAGCTTCTACATTATTCACTCTAAATAAAAATTAAAACATATAACAATACGTAAATAACAAAAAATTATGTTATTCTCATCACATTCTTGCTAGCTGGTCTAAAAGTATCTGACATATTATATATTATTCTCATATTATCTTAAATTTTGTCAAGCTTTTTATATTATTCATCCTTCCCATTCATATTCATCCTAAATAAAAATGAAAATATGTATCAATTAATATATAAATAACAATTCTTTAACAAACTATTGGAAGTGTAACAAATTAAAAAAATTGAGAAAGCAAATGTATTTGTGTAAGAAAAATATGGGTAGGCGATAAAAAAAGAGTAGACATGTTTTGTAACAAATTTGATTAGTGATATATTTGTATCAAACTATCAGATAATCTCGTCATTCAAAATCTACTAATCCTGTAACTAATCATCCAGTCGCCTTCTCCGGCAATAGGTGCGAGCAGCCTTCTGCAACTCCAGCTATCAGCCTCATCGCGATGTCCAACTACCATTAATCTTTGCGCAGCAGCTAGTAACAACCAGCACAACTCCCGGACCTCCAACTACCATTAACCTTTGCGCAGCAGCCAGTAACAACCAGCACAGCTCCCGGATGTCAAAGCTTCGAGCTCTGTCATTTCACCAATCTGGTCATTACTAAGAAGAAAAAAAATAAAATAAAATTTGCCGAACACAATCGGACGGCAGACACATCGGTCTGCCGGTCACCAAATTGGTCGTTACTGAGAAAAAAAAATAAAAAATAGAATTTGCCGGACACAATAGGATGACGGACTCAATCTGTCTGTCAGACACAAATCTGATCCTTATTGAGAAGAAAATGAAATAAAATAAAATTTGTCGATCGAGCAGCGGACTGGAGGTCGAGATGGAAGCAATCGGCCAATCGGGACACAATTAATTTTTTTTTTTTCAAAAAATTTCAAAAACACATTGAAAATTTTCAAAAACACATTTAGGCGGGATTTTCAAATTTTTCAAAAAAATGTTACTATGCTTAGTAATATATTTAGGCGGAATTTTAGATGAGTTTTGAGTTACTATTTAGAATTATATAAGTTGCCTTTTTATATATTAATTTTTTTTTTTTTTTTTTTTTTTTTTACGAAACGATAGAAATATTATAATTCAAAACGCACAAATGTACAAAGTACAACCCAAGGCTGAATAATACAGCCAATGGCTGAAAAAGTGGGAGGACAGGTCAAAGACCGCCTAGAACCGCAGCTAGCCAAGCTAGAAACTAAAAACAAGACTCAAAAACGACCGACACTACAACACAAACAAAGAAACACTAAGCTCCCCACGGGAGAATATGGTACGCTCCCCACGGGAGAATATGGAACGCTCCCCAAAGGAGAAGACCCGAACACGGTCGGGCACACACAATACAGGGGCCAACGGCCCAAACCAAAAACACAATACAACAATACAGGGGCCAACTGCCCAAACCAAAACACACAAATAGAACAATAACAATAGCAAAGACACAGACCCACTAAGACTAGAAACAAAAACAAGAAAGAGGACACATCCTCCCCCACCAGATACGACTAAGTATACGGCAGACAAACCAACTCCACTGATAGCTCTAAAGTACGGAAATATATTAATAGATTTACAAAATATTATTGTATTTTTTTGGCCTTTTGTATTTAATCCCTAATTCTTATTTCTTTTTATCTTGTCAGTTCTCACTTTTTTTCTTCTTCTGCACTTCCAACCTCGCAAATTCATTTTACTTAACTTTCTAACAATTAAAAAAAAAAACATAAATCTTCTTGTCAACATCACATCACAATATTTTATGTATTTTTTATCACCTCTAACCTTATTCCTTTCTCTCCTCACATTTTTCTCTAGATTTTTTTTTTCTTTTTTTGTGTTTTTTCAGATGAAAATGTGCGGCGAATTCTAGCGAAAGACGGACGCGATGAACTCCGTCGAAAAAAGGACGCAACTAACGTCGTCGAAAGATAGACGTGGCAAACTCCGGCAAAAGGCGAACACAACCAACTCCAGCAAAACCGCTGCAAACTGCAGCAACCCATTTTACAAGTACGAGCTGTTAGTGTTATATACTGAAATCTTGGCTTTGCATGTTATTACGCAGTTGCCATTTATGTATGAGAATCATGTTAGATTAAACAAGTTCTACGTTCTATTGTTCTGCACTTAGATAGAGTGGGTCGTCATCGGGTGAACCGAAGATCACTCTATCAGTTACTTGTGAATAAGAATAGTTTTTCACAACCTAAATGGACATGAACACCCCATCTGAACGGTTGTAGTGTCAACTGTACAGTTTGTCTTGACTGATTAGTTGCACTAGTACATTAATGTATTGAACAGGATCCCAGAGAGGAAAAGTTCATTTTATACTGATCGTCGTAAATGAACTAGGCCTCAGTTAATTACTGCTTTCTCTTAACCCGTAAGATATTAAACAGGCAGATATATATAGTATATATTACTTTGATTCACATGGGTTAGGTTCAGTTCGCTGGATCAATATTCTGTTTTGGGTAATAATATTATATATAGGATGTGCTGTTAGGATATTTACGGTCACCATGTGCGTTAGTTTGATGATGTCCCCAGAGTGAATTCATGAAAGATTTTTATGGTAAACCCTGCAGGTGGATTAAGTTCCGGCATAATAAGAATGTGATAAACGAGAGCTAGCTTCAGTGAAATAATAATAAATTAATTAATTCTTGATTGTCAGTAATCAAATTAATTAATGGACATTATATCTTAAACGTGGGGAGGTAAATCGAGTAATTATTATTGGAGTCTCAAATGTAATTTGGGCTAGGAAAGGGAGTGCAATAATATAAGAGAAAATTGCACCACCTACCATCCAAAGCAATTTTATTTGCACATTTACTAATCATTTATTTTTTTGCAATTATACTAGCTATTAAATTTTCTCTCTCCAATTAAAAAGAATGAGACGATGGAAAAAGAAGGAAAGATACTTGCTAATAAATTTTCTCTCTCCAATTTACTAATTATTTATTTTTATAATAATTTTAAACTATAAAAAGAAGGAAAGAAAAAAAAACTGTAAAAAAGGGGTTCGATGGAGACGGTGAAAACGGGATTCGATGGATACGGGGAAAGCCGGCTCAATTCTCGAAGGTAGACACCGGCGGCAGAGGCGAAAGTCTATTTCGATTCTCGAAGGTCGATTTCAATTATCGAAGGCAGACGGAGGCGGAGGTGTGGATGAAGGTCGAAGTATCAAAGAGGTTGGTTGAGATTGAGAGAGAGATTGAGAGAGTGAGAGCAGTTATATGGTCGAAGTATCAGAGAGGCTCCGCGATCAGCTTTCTTTATTCCATTTTGTTTTTTTAAACTGGTGATGACAGTATATGTTGCGTGTATATGGCGTATATGTTCTAATATATTTTGTATATATTTCGTATATTTTTCTGGACTTATATGTTTTCTGAATATGTTCTGTATATATCATGTTTTCGTATATAGAAAACACGCGAGGAGTATATAAAACATAAACTAAACTTAAAACAATATCAAAAAGAAAATAACATCAAATTTTTTTGGGATATTTTTTATGATTGTATCAGCAAAAATCGGTTGATTCTAACAATATCCTATACATTAGGATACACTTACCATTTAAGTTTACATTGATTTGCGAAAAAAAAAATGGCTGATTAACTATCCCTATTTTTAAGGAGGAAAAATTACACTTTGCCTACCTAACTATCCGCCTTTTAACACTTTGCCCACTAAACTTTTTTTTTTTTTTGGCACTTAACCTGTATGAACTTCGCATTTTTTTGCGCTTACCCACTTCCGGCCATCGGAGTTCATATTAGTCCGACACGTGGCAATGACGACTACGCGTACGGGGGCATAACAGACATTTTAAGTTGTTTTTCTAATTAAAACCTAAAATCCCCAAATCGATCGTTCCCCAATTTTCAAATTCTCTCAATTCCCAAATTCTGCCCTAACCCTAATCTCCAAAGAAAGTTCATTCTGTCGAAAATCTTTCAAGCGTAGCAAATATTGAACAATGTCATGGAAAGTACGTGCACCCGATGATGAAGATATACCGCCTGGAAGTTGTTGCCCAGATTACGGTGAGTTCGTAATTTGTTCTTCTTTTTTCATTCATTTTTTTTTCTTTGGGACGACACTGATGCTCTAATTCGTTATTCATTGGTTCGTAATTTGTGTTTATTACTTCGTTATATGTTCAGTGGGTAGAAAAATGAGATTTTTTTGGTATTGCAGAAGAGTTGAACATGTCCGTAATATGTGTTCATTCCTTTGCTTTTTTATTTTTCAACAGGTCCCTAATCTGAGATGTTCAATCAGAGTTTATCATTCTGGGGAATTTCTGAATTTAGGAAATAAGTACTACTTGGCAGGTGAGGTTGCATATATTGACTATTGCCATCCTGATGAAGTATCTTTAATTGAGATTATGAGTATCCTAGAAGAGTTAGGTGTTAATGAAGTGAAACAACTTCATTGCACACAAGGAGATGTGAGTGACTGCACTAATTTGCTTATCTTGAATGATGATAGTGATGTACTCAGAATGGGGCAAATGGTGAATGATAGTAGGTTGGTAGGTTTATATGTGAAGCATGAAACTACAAAGAACAATCATGAAACCTCTACTTTTCCTCATATTAATGAACCTTTGAATTATGTTGGTGATTGTGATGAAGGCATGGAAACAAATGACCTTAGGGATCCTGAGAATGATATTGTTAATGGTTTGATTGATGAATGTATGAGCAATGATAGTGATGATGTTCAGTCTTGGGGTTCAGATTCTAGTCACTCTGATGTTTTCATAGATAGTGATTGAGATGTTTATGCTGGTGATGATGATATATGTTTGATGAAAATATTGATAGTGATGTTGAGTTTGGGGGCTTAAGTTCAGGTAGGTCTGAGGGTGTGTGCAGACCCCATGTTGAGTCCATAGGCAGCCAAACAAAGGATAAACATAAGGGTCATAATGTTTTCAATGAGAAATCAGACATTTGAAACCCTATTTTTGAGTTAGGCATGTTTTTTACAGACATGAACTTGTTTAGGAAAGCAGTTAGACAACATGCTATTAAGAATGGAAGGATGTGGTTTTTAGCATTTATGAGAGAACCAAGGTACAAGTTAAATGTAAGCACACAACTTGTCCTTGGATTATGTATGCTGCTAAGTTACCTGATGAGGATAGTGTTCAGTTGAGAAAGTATGACCCCAAGCATAAATGTCCTAGAAAACATAGGGTTTCTCATGCAAACTCTAGGTGGCTAGCTGATACATATAGAGAGAAAATATGGACTGATCCCAAGTGGCCTGTGGAGTCCATGAGGAAGATAGTGCAAGGGGAACACAAGCTTCTTTTCAATAAAAGTCAACTCTATAGAGCTAAAAAAAAGTGTTGACTAGTGGATCTGGGGCTAATCCTGAGCAATATGCATTGTTGTGGTCTTATGCCAGTGAAATTAGGTTGTCAAATCCTAATACCACAGTGAAGATAAAGTGTAGAAGGGTAGGTGATAAAACACTTTTTAAAAGAATGTAAATTTGTTGGGGTGCACTTAGAGATGGTTTATTGGATGGATGTAGGCCTGTTGTATTTCTTGATGGTTGTCATTTGAAAACTTCAATGGGTGGGGTCCTTTTAACTGTAGTTGGCATAGATCCAAATAATGGGATGTTCCCATTTGCTTATGCTGTGGTAGAAAAGGAAAAGAAGAAGTCATGGAGTTGGTTTTTACATTTTCTGATAGAAGACTTAAATATCAGAAACCCTTACCATTGGACATTCATGTCTGACAAGCAAAAGGGTTTGATTGAAGCTGTTGAAACCCTTTTGCCTGGTACTGAACACAGATTTTGTGTTCAACACTTGTACCAGAATTTCAAAGCCCAACATAAAGGGCTTGCATTGAAAAAGTTGTTATGGAAAGCTGCTAGGGCATCTAGAGTGCAGGATTTTCAGAGAGTGATGACTGAGATCAAAGAGAGAGATGAACCTGCATACCAATGGTTGAATGCAAGACCTCCTGCACATTGGTCTAGATCTCATTTTAGCACACATTCAAAGTGTGATGCACTTTTGAACAATCTCTCAGAGACTTTCAATTCTGTGATTGTGAAAGCAAGAGGTGAGTCCATTGTAATTATGTTAGAACTGATTAGGACTTACCTAATGAAGAATATCCATCTAAAAAGAGACAAGATGAGCAAATATCATGGAGAACTTTGTCCTAGGATAGTGAAGTTGCTTGATGAAATGAAGAAAACTAGTATGGAGTTCATTGCACATTGGAATGGGAGGGATCAATTTGAAATAGAGACCATGACTGAGAGTAGGTTTAAGGTTGATGTTGGTGAGAAATCTTGCAGTTGTAGGAAGTGGCAGTTATCAGGAATTCCATGCCCCCATGCAATATCAGGAATATTTTATTTAGGCAAAAATCCTGAGGATTTTGTTGATGACTGTTACAAAAAGGAGACATACTTAAGGGTCTACAGTCATTTGATGGGAGCACTAAATGGACAAGATGAATGGCCAGAAGTGGATATTCCACCATTGCTACCACCTAGCATTGAAAAAATGCCAGGAAGACCGAAGAAGTATCAGAGGAAGATGGAAACAGATGAGATCAATGGAAAGCATGTTAGTGAGCAATCTAAAAAAAATGATGCTACACCTAATCAGGTGAGATTGAGCAAGAAAGGTGTGACAATGAGATGTTCAATCTGCAAGCAACCAAACCACAATTCAAAGGGTTGCCACAAAAATAAGAGAAATGATGTGCCTGCTCCAGTTCAAACAGAATCAACTGCAAAGAAGGTACTTAGATGAAAATTAATGTTGTCACTTATTCAACCATAGTATCTTTACTAATCTCATGTTTATTTGCAGAGAAAGAGAAAGAGTCCTAGCAAATCCAACTTTGAAGGGAATGATTTGCAGAGCATAAGGAAGAGTCCTAGACTGAAGGTAAAAGTGATGTTCTTTCTTTTCTCAATATGTTCTTGTCATCAGCCGTTATCATTAAGTAACTATATAAATTTTAAATTTGTTTTGTTTTGTTGTTAATGTGTTGTAGGAGAAATCCCAAAGAGTTGAAGGAGTCTAAGAGATAAGGCCACAAAAGGTATAAAATTTCCTTTTCATTCTTTTTTGGTATTTGGTTAACTTGAAGTAGGTTGAACCAAAGGTGACTTTTCATTATTTTTGGTATTTTTTGTTTTGTTTTTGTGCAGGAGAAAAGCATCAAAGCTGGAGGATCCTCACAAGAGCCAGCAAAAAAGGTATGGTTTTTTATTCACAAAGGATCCTCACAAGCACCAACTGTGGTTTTTTATTCTTTTTTTCTTTTTAATCTTTGGTTTTGTGCAGGGTAAACACAACAAAGTTGGAGAATCCTCACAAAATCCAGGAAATGTATGATATTTACTTTCCACATTTGCCATAAACAAACATGTATATGCTAAATTCAATATTGTTATTGTAAATGTGTAGGGAAACGGAAAAGAAATAGTCATTGCTGGAAATGATGGTGTCAAAGCTAACTTGCCAGTGAAAAGGAGCTTGAGGCTACAAGGTCTTGTTGGTGAAAAGCCACAAGCTCTTACACAACCTGTTAGGCCACAAGGAAGGAGCAGCATGCTTGATGGTGTGAGATTTTCCACAAGAAAAAGGGTTGCATACTCTCAAGACTAGAATATTTGTTGTTTGGAGTTTGGTTGGTCTAGAAAGTTTGTAACGCCATGTATTGACATTCTGAAATGGTAAGTTTTTATTTGAATAGATTGAGATTGGAACAGATTGAGGTTTTGTGTTGGTATGGGAATATTCTAAGGTGGTCTTGTGTGTTTGTATTGACAATTTAGGTGTTATGCTTTGCTTTTTTGAACAAACTAAGGCATTCTGATTTGAAGAAATATTGACTTTCATTTCAATATGTTTGGAATGGAAAATGATATGCCATTTGTTATACCCTTTGTTTGGAATGGGAAATGATATTGATATCATTCTCTTTTAATATGTTTGTGTCCATCTGGTTATATGTTGATAGTGTCAAGTTGGGAACAAATATTGTACAGGTGAGTACCTTTGTTATTTTTGCATGCATACATTTGCAACATGTATCCATTTGGTTGTTGTAATAGAATGTCCAGTCCATTTCCCGCACACACATAAGCACAACCAAAACATTTTTTCATTCATTCATGAAAGCACAAATGGCTAATGTTACATAATAGAGACATAGACTAGACTAAATGTCTTACAAAACATAACAAATGACTAAGTTTCAGCCAATAACTGAAAATGGGACTTAGCCAAAATCAACAACCACCCTACCAAATGTCTTACAAAACATACCAAATAACTTAAGTTTCAACCAACAATAGAAATGGGAAATGGGACTTAGCCAATAACAACAACAATCACCCTAACAAATTGAAACATAAACATAAAATGGTTATATCACCATTTGACAAAGAACATGATCAACCAAGAAAGAACCATCATTCCCCAAAGCCACTTCTCCCTAGACTTCTTTGTAGCCAACTCATCTTCAAGCCTATTAACACGTCTCAGAAGCCCTGGAATAATTTGTCGAGATCTCGGGCACATTGGAGGGTCAATCCAAGAGAAGTAATTGCATCCTCCAAAGGCCTGAATAATTATCAATCAATTGAATTGAAAAAATTAATCAAATAAGGTTGCTGATCAATTAAGGGAAAAAAATAGGATTCCAGATTAGGGGAAAATTTTGGGGTTGAATATTAGGGTTTCAGGGTTAGAAATTAGGGAAAAATTTTAGGGTTGCAAATTGAGTTGCATACTCTAATGGTTCGATTATCAATCAATTAAAAAAATCAATCATTTAGGGCTGCAGATTAATTAAGGAGAAAATTAGGGTTACGAATTAAAAATCAGGGTTACAAATTAGGAGAGAAATTTAGGGTTCCAAATTAACAAAATTAATCATCAAGATGAAGTAATTGCACCTTCTAATGGTCTGGATAATTAGCATAGAACAACATCCATTGCAAAATAGGGTAAATTTTTCGAATTATAGCCTAAAATTACCCGAGGTTTTTCACAGACGGCATATCTTCTTCCCGGATTATGGTCTGTCCACGAGGTCTTCATTACGGCCCTTTTCTCACAAGTGCAGAAGTCTCCGTTGCCAGTCACCTCGGAGCCCATGGTCGCCATTATTTCTCTCTTCCTCTTCTGCAAACGAGACGGACGATTTGGGGAAAAGAAATTAGGGTTTCGAATTTGAATAAGATTTTTTGTATGTGAGGACGATTTGCCCGTTGTGTATCCTGTCAAAAGACGACTATACCCTCATTTCGGAACTCTGATGGCCGGAAGTGGGTCAGTGCACAAAAATGTGAAATTCATACATGTTAAGTGCCAAAAAAAAAAAGTTTAGTGGGCAAAGTGTTAAAAGGCGGATAGTTAGGTAGATAAAGTGTAATTTTTCCTTTTAAGGACAATTAACTTTGTTTGTTGAGGTAACCGAAATATGGCATTATCCAAATTAAATTCCATGCATTAGGTAAGTTTGCAATTTAATTAATCTCTTGGTAATGTTGCAATTAATTATAAAACGTTGTGTATAGATAAAAATCTCCCATAATATAATGTTGGTGGCCCATTAATTTTATTTAATTAATTAGAAGAGTGGGCTTGGCCCACAGTTAGTCTAATTAATTAAGGAGCCCTATTCTTAATCTCTTAAGGGTCCCTACTATAGCTCTATATATACATCATTAAGCTAATGAGAAGAGATGAGAATTCCTATTCTAACGTGAGACATGTGAGAATCGGCAGACTGGAACTATAGCAAACTGGAAGACTCCTCGATCGGTTGAGCTTCCCTCAGATGTGGCTCAGAGCCTGTAGATGGAGTTTGCTATAGTTCCAATCTGCTGATTCTCCACAAGCGCCACTGAAGAAGAACGGGCAGTACCCGTTGACCCCACGCCTGAGCTCAATCCACAGACTGAGAAGGTTTCTTGAGAACCACTGACTGCTGAGCCCGAGCATCATCAGACGGAGGCTTTGCCGACGAAGGAAGCTGTAAATGCTACTCATCTATCATCACGGGTTGTCGGTTCATCACAGATTCAATATGTCACGGATGCTGCCCCACAGAGCAAGCCACACAAAGAAACAGACAGCAGTTGGGCTCGTCGAAGCGGGCCTCTAAGAGGTTTAGATTGATTAACGAGCCTTCACCACCATCCTCGCCCATATCCACGCCAGACGACACTCCGCCAGCTGCTGCTGATATACATCAACCCGCTGTCGACACTGTCCCAGCACAAGCGGACAGAACAAGCAGAGGGCTTATCGACTTTCCCAACGCTAACGGCATTCAATTCCACTCATGGGCTCATGCCAATTGTTATGAGCATTTGATGAGGCGGAAGATAGTCCCAACCATATATGCTGATGAATTCTTGTTGAAAACTCTAGGGTTGCACGATGATGTGATGCGGATGTTCGATGTCATGGGATGGAAGAAATTGATGACGGGACAATGGCCGGTATTCGCGGACCTAACACTTGAGTTCCTTAGCACGTTTCGGAAGAAGATTGAGGATATGCTGGAGTTTCAGTTGGGGAATCGAGTGTTTGAGTGGAGCTATGCCGAGTTTGCTGTCGCATTAGGGCTGCCCCATGATGCCCTTGTAGCTAGTTCGTTCGAGATGGAGAAGGATGCTTGGAGCGAGTTCGCCACACCGGGAGCTGGGACACGCAGCACGGTCATTCGTAATCCGGTCATCCGCTATGTTCAGCGAATGATGGTGTATTTATATACCGGCCAGAGCTCGAACAAAAACATAGTAGACAGCGACACGATTCATCGGATCTGGGGCATGCTTCATGGTCACAGGATGCGTTCGGACAACCACTACGTCGATACATTGCTCGTGGCCGGAATGACGAGATAGCGCTCGGAGGTTTAATCATGTGCATTGCTGAGCATGCCGGGGTCGAGTGCCGACTGGAAGGGTGTCGACGTTGGACGCAAGCTTGCTGGGACCACGGATGTTAGATCTGTTTAAGGACAACGGATATTTTTGGCGAGTCACCCCAGTCGAACACATTGCTTTGCCGAACCCGGAATACACGACGATTCGTGTCGGCCGCAACATTAAGATGGACCACCGGATGATGTCCCAGGTTGTAGCGCAGGTCCCGGACTTACCGAGAGCAACTCACCTGTGGAACATCAGCTGCGTAGACGAGTCGAAGAGCTCGAGGAGGAGAACAGAAGGTTGGAGCTGGAGAATGGCGAGCTGAAGAAGCAACTGGCCAGACTATTTGAAGTGGCAAAGGAGAATGCACAGCCGCGGGCAAGGAGGACTACCCATCGATGATCCGGTGACTTCGTTTCCGCTATTTTGCTTTATAGTAAAAATTTAGTTTCAGGAGGGTTGTTGATGGGTGTATCTGTGTTACAGTTTCTATGCATATATTTTTGCCCTGGTCTGCTATTTTGTTTTTTAAGTTTATTTTGATTTGTTTAGGGTCATTGTTTTTGGTTACCTAGCTGCTTTTGGTCTAGAAGAAAAAAAAATGATTTGCTTTTGGTGTAGTCGTATGTGGAATTTCGTGATGACGATATGAGAGTTTGTCGTTGGAATTATCTGCTGGTTCATGATGACTTGGATTAATGATTTCTGGTTAAACTTTTTAAGTGTTGTTATTTAGGAACAAAGACATGACGGTTGATATTTATGTGTTTTATTCGTGGTGAGTTTCGAACTGTTTATATTTTTGAAATGTGCTGGTGATTATTCTGCTTGATGTCGATTGTGTGTGGTGACTTGAAGTGGAAAGTTGAGAGTTGTATGTCTTGAAAAAAAAGCGATATGGTGTGAATAATGAATGTGGAGGAGAAAATAATGGGTGTTGTAGTAGAAAAAAAAAAGAAAGATAGTAGGCTGCAACAGCTGTCAGTCTGTGAAGCTTTAGTGCAACACTCTAGCACGAATAGCTAAAGACCATAGGCTGTGACAGAGCTGCCGTTTCAAAAAAAAAAAAAAATTGAGACGTTTGTTCTGTCTAGAAACGAGGTTGGCAAAGAAAGGGATGTCGTTAGTTGCATGATTGATATACTCGGTGTAGAGATTGATGAGCTGCTGTAATACAATGAATTGATACTTGATTGTTAGCGTTCTAAAGATGATTTCATTTCTAGTCTGGGGTTATTAATCTGGGAAGTTGTAACTATGCATTATGTGAGATGTGTGAGGACCTGAACGAAAATTCCACGTACTTGTTTTGTTTATTTTGTCCGTTTTTTGTGTTATAGTTCTATGTTGCTTGGAGATAAGCAACGGTTTTAGTTTGGGGAGATTTGATATGTGAGAAATCTTGTATTATTTTGTGGTTTAATTTATATATTTGAGTATTTGATTTTAGTGTATTATACAAGTTTTTTCACGTATTTTATTTTGTGAACGGACAGACACCAATATATGAATTTTGTATTTATTTTGCAATTATTACACCTATTTTGTGACGTAGCAGTTATGTAGGCAAAGATGTGGATTACAATGTAAATTGGCCTAACACACGCAGCTGCATGACTCATTTTTAGAAGGATGGATTTTTAATTAATGTGCTATTATTTGTTGATGGTTGACAAAGATTGAGGAGAATTTAATTTCCTTTGGACTCTTGTTATT